ATTTCCTCAGAATTTTCATATTGTCACCAACACATGTAGTTGACCATGTGCATATATTCCCACACTGCCTACAACATTGAACGTTCACCTCCCAAGCACGCCAGCACATGTCACTAAAAAGTTACCAAAGTAACGCCATAAAGTTTCCACTACTGCCTTCAATATCTCAAAAAACTCATACACATCACTAGTGCCCTTCCAGCACGCCAGCACATGTCACTAAAAAGGTCTCTAGAAAATTACCGTGTACCAAAGTGACACTATAAAGTTTTCACTACTGTTTTCAAGAATATCTCAAGAAAAGCTCATATACCACTGACCTTCTCAGCACGCCAGCACATGTCACTAAAAATACTCCCTACCCCATTCGGAACGCCCTGGCCATCCCTCGACCAGAAGACACATTATTGAGCAAATCGCCAACATTATCCTTCGGCACGTCCCCCAACCCCAGCGCCTCCAACGTGTGATCTTCCTTACCATCGACCGTACTCCTCCATAAATTATATCGCGCAATTATCTAAGATTCACACGTCACGCACTGCGAAGATTTTTCAATCCGATTCTCTTACGCTTTTCGCTGAAGTCTTCGTGCTCACACAAGAACGCCGCATATTTTCAAAGTCGTTGAGGATGCCCGCAGCGACCGTACTGCCAGTCTTCACATGTTCCATGATTGCTTCTTTCAACACGCGTTTATACTCATGAGGGAAGACCTGTCAGCGTCACTCGCCACGAAATTATTGCCAATTGAAACTCACTTTCGTGAACCGCTTGATCGAGTTGGCCCAGTCAGCGAGAAGCTTCGCCGCTTGTGGAGAACCCGTCCTCTTCAGATGCTCCGACAACAACGCCTTCAGGGCAACTCTGAAAAAAACACAATAATGACTGTGATCGCGCCGATAAAATTAGCATAACCCCGGCGCAAGGATGACATGCACAAATCGAAAAGTGTAAAAAGTTTTTCGCTCCATATACCTTGCGCATTGAGCATCCACAACCACATAATATCTAGGCATACTCAGTATCCACACTCACATCATTTGCTGATTAGCGGCTCACGTGTTGGTGACAATATGAAAATTCTGAGAGGAAATTTCGGGAAAGTTCTCTTGGATTTCTGTACACATCCAGCCGAATTCATATATAAAATTTTATAGTTAGCAATCAAACTCCTTGACTCGGCTAAGGGGAGCAAACCAACGAGACTTTCCCAAAATTTTCTCAGTAGTTGACCATGTGTATGTTTTCCCACAACATGCGTTGGTAGGAAAAACAGCGTAGATCTCCTCCTACTTGTCCTCACGAGCGTCTCCTCCCAACGGGTCCAGGTAAACGGTCTGTTTATTGCAGTGGTTGCGATCCAAGTCCAAGACATACGCCAGACCTCCCGACATACCTAAAATACTCTAATCTGACAGAATACTAACCAAAGCAATGTTATTGTGGAACGCAAAGAAAAGTGTTCCTCAGCCGAGCCCGGCAGTTTCGACATGAATGTTGTCTATCACTGATTTATCTATAATCGGGTATATGTGGAATTGTGATAAAATATGAGCAATCACAAAAAATCTGATTCGGCAATCAGAATTTTGTGAATCTTGTGATGTTGTGAAGTAGATCCATACGACAGTTTTCTACTATTAGGAAACACTTGACGAATGCTATCGTTGAAGCTGAGGAAAAGCTTTAGCATATTTACACTCCCATCGACAAAGTATGTCATATTGATATACCTACATTTATGGGAATTTAATATAAAGTATTATAACTACAACTATGTCAATGTCGAACCTAGACGGAAGTGTCGAAGGCAATGTCGAAATACTTATTCGCTTCGCTCAGCTAAGCTCTGCAGTTTTCTCACCAGATCATAAAAATCCACACATGAATTCACATAGAAATTCACAAAAACCAATACACATCTCCCCAGACTTCCATGTGCGAATTTTCCCCCACACTGCGATATACCAGCAGCGAAGTTCCTCCCCGTGGTGCCAAGCACAACAACAACTCCTCGAGTCATATACTCGCAACCATGATCTCCGCACCCTTCGACAACAGCTACTGCTCCGCTATTACGAACAGCAAATCTAAACAAATATCAAATCAAACTGCCTCAATCTCGATGAACACACCTGTCCCCGGCTTGACCGTTCACGAAAAGTCTTCCGCCAGTGGCACCATACAAACAGGCATTTCCCACGATGACGTTGTCTTCGGGGAGGAACTCGGGCGCGCGCGGTTTCGGTGGCCGCTGAGGGATGGAAAAACCATAACCGAACATCACCACGTTTAAATAGCTCAGTGAGTAGAGCGCTAAACTCCTAACCCTAAGAACCCTGGTTCGATTCTTCCCCGTGTCGCCATTACTATGTCAATATCCCCGCCACATAGACCTTTCCCGACATAATCATTTGCCTCTCCTTCTAGCGAGAAGGATACTCCCTTCATTAACCACGACCCGAACGACTGTCCAGCACTTCCAAAAAAGGAAACGAGCAACGACCCTGAGAGAAGCCACGGGCATCAACTGCACCAGCAGAAGCCAATCGCAAACTCCCCAGAGACATTTCGTCACAAAAAGTCGGGTTCCTATTGATTTTCCAAAACAGACGAAATCTCAACTTTGTACAGTTGATATTCCCAACTTGGGATTGACAATCTCCACATCGACCCGAAGGAGGTATTCTAAACTAATGATCTTTTATGTATAGTGACACCAATTAACGACAGCAGCAGGAATCGAACCTGCGCGGGCAGAGCCCAGGGGATTTCAAGTCCACCTCCTTAACCACTCGGACACACTGTCTAGCGAACGAGGTGAAACCATTAGCTCAAGCCGGAATAGACATCTCTTTATCCATTCACATATAAGAACAAGCCAGTGACTAGAGCGTTCGCACACTAACAGCCAACCGCTGAACTGTAAATAGAAAATATTACATATAAATTACAATCAAAATTTTCCCAAAAAGAAGCACACACCAACGAACCGACCAGTTACGACACCATAAGCCGCTCTATTCAGTCTATAGATGACTACTAAAGTCTACTACATCAACTGCCAATATCGGAATACAGCGTTGTAGGAATATTTGTTCGCTTCCCTCAGCTGAGCTCGGAGATTTTCTCACTAATTATACAAGTTCATATACCAATTTGGATAGAAACCCAACAGGAATGCCCTACAATCTCTCCGGAATTCTCAGATTTCCACCAACATATGTCGATGACCATGTGCGTATTTTCCCACACTAAAAGGGGCACGGACACTCTACCTTCGGGCAAACCAGCCGATCCTCTGTGCTTGGCAATCTCATATGAAAGCCTTGCGCCAACCGTACGATCACTGTTGTTGATCAAAATAGGCTCTTTCATCTGATCACAGCAGTTCATATTATCAATAGAGTTATACCCGCGATACGAAAAACAATAGTGGAAAACATATTTCACAAACCACTTCGCATTTCTCACCAAGTATTACGCTACTTCACGTAAAACGAGTGAAATTCTAGTGCATAAACACACCTACAAATACAAAAACTATTATTATCCTTAATATCATTTTCACCTTGGTTGCTGACCATATATCAAATGTATATTAATAAGCGTATACTAATGGAGCTCCGCCCGTTTAACGTGAAGTGGCGTGATACTTCGTGTGAATTTCCGCGAATTGTGAATTGTGGAATATGTTTTTTCTTAGTATTTTCCACATCACCAGTGAAACTCCATTGTTAAATTAGCTCGCTCTCCGTGATCCCCTACCTCCAGTGCAAGATCGCTGTCATCTCCTTCTATCATCGCCCTTGCCCGACCAAGGATGCGCTCATCGAGATCCTCAGCCACTGACGATCTAGACTCGGGAGACCCGACAACCGTTGATTCCGTAGCCGATGCTTCCCCACGCTGACCTCTGAGAGAGTACGCGCAGTATAAAGAGCCCGCTACATAACTTTGACTAAAAAGCTCAAATTCTCGAAATTTTGTACAGTACGTGCAATATGAAAAGCCGTTTCGTGTCACCAGCCGAAATTTTGTATGTATGTTCTTCTTACACATATTTCTGATCGAATCCTCGTTTCCCAGAATTTGATCCGGGACTTTAATTATTTACATTGCGCCGCATACTATACAGAAAATACCAAAGCTCATACCACTCTCCTCTCACCTTCCCATCTGCGAATCCCCACGTCTCCAGGCCTCCCAAGTCGGCTTAAGCATATCCGACAAATCGATCACTGCCGTCTTCTTATTCTCACGCACCACTGACTTCATGCGAAGAAGGTCCGTTCGGCCGATCAAATCCTGCAATAACACCATCATCGGCTGGGCCCTCCAAAGGAGTTTCACCACCCTAGTGATATGAAAAACATATTCCACGACTACAGCATATCACCGCGAATATCGCGTTTTTCACCGAGTTTTACGCCGCCACTTCGAGTAAAACGAGTCGTGAAACTCCATTGAAGTTCCTTTAAATTGCTCATTACGACGACACTCAGATCTACTTGAGTACAAAAGAATTACTCCAACGACAGCATCACGGAATTGCGATTTCTTGCAGTTATCACGCATGTTCATTGGGCGAGTCCTTGTTACATTGAATTCCTAAACTATCGAATAAATCGGCGTATAACATTAATTTTCCTGATATTCTATTACATGCTAATGGAAATAGTTCTATACGAGTAAGAAGTTAACATTATCGAACTCTCTGCGTGTAACACACTATCTACCGATTTATACTGCAGGCTCAGACAGCAGTGACTGAGCCCCCAGCTATACCTCTATACTGGCTATTACTCGCCTGCTCCAATGAGTTAACACTGTCAATGAGGAGTAATGCGACGTAGAAAATGCCGCGGAGTGTGATGTTTTAGCACGTGTTAAACCGGTGGGATAGGAAGTGTTAATAACCACGAGCTTTTGACCAGAAGCTCGATTGCATCAATACAAAATCCGGGTTTCTGATTTTTGTGATGAAGTGTCCAAAACGAACAACAGAGTAAACCGAAATGACTGTACGATAGATATCTTTTCGCGAATCCCGAATCAATATAATAGCATAGGATAGTAAGTACCAGTAGTAGCATAGTAAGCAGCGTATAGTAGCATAGTAAGTCAACCGTGCGTTTCGCGCGGTTTTGAACTCGAATGTAAGCCCTTTCACAACGATTATAGGAAAGTCATCATTCTTAAAATCTTCCCCCGTCCACTTTTCCTATACCACACTCACCTCGAATCGCCTCATGCCAAGTCTGGCCATAATCTGCCTCACTTCTCCAGCCATCAGCCATAGGAAGTTCACCAAGTGCTCAGGCTGGCCCGCGAACTTTCGAACTAACTCCGGATCTTGAGTGGCGATACCCACAGGGCACGTATTAAGATGACATTTCCTCATCATAACACACCCCAACGCGATCATCGGCACCTAGATTATCGGCACATTCTTCCCACACACATTTCACCGTCTGAGATCTCACCGTTGTCATAGCAATTTCGTCGCTACCCAGCAGACCCGCGTAGACAACATCCCGAGCCGTCCTGATCTGTCCATCCGCTTGCAGCACCACTCGATCACGGAGACCATTCAAAACCAACACCTGCAAGAATAATAACATCCCCGAGAGTCGAACTCACGAAAGCGAAAAGGAAAAAATTGTAAAATTTTTCTTCTCGCTGGTGGATTATCATACTCCAATATTTTACAAAAACTATCATTCGATCAGCCAGATTTACTCTATGTAGGACTTTCACGACCCGTTTTACGCGAAGTCACGCAATTCTCCGTGAAAGCCCCAATACGGTGATATGTAGTAGTCGTGGAATATATTTTACACTAGTGTGAAACTCATATTACGTATAATTTTCAACTATATATTCACATCTAATACGCGTATACTTACACTCACCGCTACGCCTCACCTGATGCGACTCTGCCAGGCCCAGTTCCCACGGCCCTCCAGCGTGTTTAATACTGGTCCATTTCGCGGCGCCCGTCCCCCCACTGTTGCCAGAAATAACAACGTGACCAGCACCACCCTTCACTAGGCCAGCGGCGATAATGCCTACTCCGATCTTAGACACCAACTTGAGGGATATTCTTGCCGTTGGATTGGTCTAAACCACAAGCGAAAACTCCTCATCCATACGCCCTGCTGGCCCAATGGATAAGGCGCCACCCTCCTAAGGTAGAGATTCCGGGTTCGATCCCCGGGTAGGGTATTTTTCCACCAACACATACGGTGTAGCTCAAACCTTTATGCAAAGTAACTCCCTCAATTTTTTCGAGAGTTCGAAAGTCAACATGATAACAATGTGAATCGATTGACACCAGCGTTTCCGGAGCGTTCCATAGCCTACGGTCGTACTACTCCCAAATTGAAGAAAACCTGGATATGCATAACGATTTGGTTCACACTGTATTTTTACTGTAACTAGACTTGCCACCACTTGCTCTCTTGCATTTCCTCAACGTCGAAAACGATTAGGTTCACACTGTATTTTTACTGTGACTAGACTCGCCACCACTTGCTCTCTTGCATTTCCTCAACGAATTAATAATACCATCCTCGATTCACTTTCACTCACATGTTTCAAATCCGATATCAGTTGAGCCACATCCTCAATACTGTACATATCGTGATGAGGAGGAGGTGATATCAGCCCAACCCCTGGGGTGGACTTCCGGATCTCCGCGATGGCACCAACCACCTTATACCCTGGCAACTCCCCTCCTTCGCCCGGCTTAGCGCCCTGACCAAGAAAGGCTCGGTGTATACGGACAAAGGCTGGACTTCGGAATTGGACCGTTAATGTCAACGATTGCTGAACTTCGGTGTCTCGAATATCATATCCGTGGCTACTCTGATACAGTTCAAGTATACACCAAGATTCAAATATGTACATATGTCGGTGAAAATTTCGGGAAATTCTCATTGATTCTATACGGATTTGTATGTAAGCTTCTATATTTAGTGAGGAAACGCCTGAGCTCAGCTGAGAAAAGCGAACATATATCCCAACTCTTCAACACTACATGCTAGAGTTTCAAAACATACAGGACTAGTATAGGAATTCCGAGACCCAAAGTTGGAGTAGGAATATATCGTCCCTTTCCTCAGCTGAGCTCAGGAGTTCCCTCACTAATTATAGGAGTTTACATACGAATTCGAGTACAAAAACCAACGAGAATTTCCTCAGAATTCTCATACTGCCACAACCCCCACCTGTGCTAGTTTTATCTGAATCTCGTCAGCGTCCGCCAAATACGCCGCAGTTACACCGAATCGGCCAGAGGCTACTTGCTTGATACGGGACCTCACCTCGTTATCTTCACCAAACCTAAAAGAGCCAGTGTTGTTGGAGTCGGAATATATGTTCGCTTTCCTCAGCTGCTGAGCTCAGAAGAGTTTCCTATACAGTGTTGGAGTAGGAATATATGTTCGCTTTCCTCAGCTGAGCTCAGAAGAGTTTCCTGTACAGTGTTGGAGTAGGAATATATGTTCGCTTTCCTCAGCTGCTGAGCTCAGAAGAGTTTCCTATGCAGTGTTGGAGTAGGAATATATGTAATCGCTTTCCTCAGCTGCTGAGCTCAGAAGAGTTTCGTTGCCAAATACGATGATTTATACGCTAGTTCCGGTATTCATGTACAGAAATTATGCGAGAATTTTCCTAACATATTCTCATCAACACATGTGCAGATTCCCCCACAAAAGGGGGGGGGTATAATACGATCCCACCTGGCCTCATCCTCTCCCCCTTCTCCCGTATTAGATCGGCCACCCAGGGAGTTCATCGCCATAGCCAACGCCTCGTGGGTCGGTGACGAGATGGCACCAAAAGAAACAGCACCTGTGAAATGTGGTCAGCGGAGCGATGCAGAGATAAATTTCACAAAATCGTTCTTCCAGGAAGAGATTCCTATGCTGTCACGACAGAGCACGAGTAGTAGGCAGTGCAGTAAAAAATGCACATGTTCAATTACATGTGTTGGTGACAATATAGAAATCCTGAGAGGAAATTTCACATTGCTTTCTTTACACTTTGTATGTAAACTTCCACAATAATTGAGGAAACTCCCGAGCTCAGCTGAGGAAGGCAAACATATATTCCTCTTAGAAGCTCATCCACCAAAAGCGTATCCAGAGGCTCAACATGGTATGATACAAACTAGGTCCATTCCAAGCCTCTCATCAACAGCGGAGCGAAGGTCAACCCCCACCTGTGCAGAATCTCTTTACAATTTCCGTCTCCGTTTCCACGCTTTCCACAGCGATCGGCGAACACTTGTCATAGCAAATCTCCAAAAGCCCGCGGAGTTCACACTCATCAACTAAGGCGTTTTCCCAATCTTCATATTCCTTGTATGCGATCGGCGAGTCCTTTCTGGCCGACTCCTGCACAAGGTTCGAATCCCACAGGTGTCATTTTTTAATCAACCCACTTGAATCTTCGCTATAACGTCAGGGGCGTTCATGTGGAGCTCCGATGCGTTCCCGACGGAGCGGAAATGATACATGCCCATCTCGGGCAATGCATAGCGGCTCGTTTCGGCGTCGACCAGGGGTGGCAGGGGGCGAGATGGGTACGCCTAAATACAGTACGTGTGAATTTGATATGCAAATGTTTGTTATTTTCCGAGGTTAATGATAATCGATTTGAAATTATATCGCATATACAATGTAACGATGGCTATGAACATGTGTTGTGATGATGAGAGTACCCGTTTGGGACTGTGATGATAGCGACAACTTGTTCACTATCATTTGTCCTACAAAATAACACACATTTGCATATCAAATTGACACGTACTGTACTAAAGTGAAACGGTCATATTCGTGACTGTTAGTCATATATAATGGTGATGATAAGGGACTTGGATGTGGGATAATGGGACTGTGATGAAAAATAACACATATTTGCATATCAAATTGGCATGAACTTTCATCGCGATTCTTTCATGTACTTTTATTCCTGCTCAGGTTCGGAACACACTTATCGCTGCGATCAGAAAAAGGTCAGAGAACTCCATAAAAGTGGAGGGAATTCGCTCTGTTACCAACATCAACTCACATTAGTGTGTAGCCTTAGCGCATCTTCTTGTAAGGCTCGGAAGCCCACACCCCCAAGTGATGACAAACATGCATCAAAACAGAGATTCCTAACGTCAGGTGCAAGGCCAATGCACTGGAATAGTTGAGCTCCTTTGTAACTCGAAAGGCATGAAATACCCATCTTGGACATAACCTGGAAGGGACGTGATACAAATATCAACGAAACACACGCCCTGCTGGCCCAATGGATAAGGCGCCACCCTCCTAAGGTGGAGATTCCGGGTTCGATCCCCGGGTAGGGTATATTTCCCTCCCCCCTCACTTTGAGAATTCCAGCATGTGCCGCAGCCCTATAATTCTTCACCATCTTATTTAAGCTCATCTCCACCACAGTCGAGTCCCTCCCAACTCCCATACTCGACGGACGCACTCTGACACCATCAACATACAATACGTGCTCACTTGAAATGCTAATGTGAAGGACCGCGTTTCTGTTACTCTAGAGTTACTCTACACTGTTACTGTTACTCTAGAGTTACTCTACACTGTTACTGTTACTCTAGAGTTACTCTACACTGTTAATGTTACTCTAGAGTTACTCTACACTGTTAATGTTACTCTAGAGTTACTCTACACTGTTAATGTTACTCTAGAGTTACTCTACACTGTTACTGCTACTCTAGAGTTACTCTACACTGTTACTGCTACTCTAGAGTTACTCTACACTGTTACTGTTACTCTAGAGTTACTCTACACTGTTACTGTTACTCTAGAGTTACTCTACACTGTTACTGTTACTCTAGAGTTACTCTACACTGTTACTGTTACTCTAGAGTTACTCTACACTGTTACTGTTACTCTAGAGTTACTCTACACTGTTACTGTTACTCTAGAGTTACTCTACACTGTTACTGTTACTCTAGAGTTACTCTACACTGTTACTGTTACTCTAGAGTTACTCTACACTGTTACTGTTACTCTAGAGTTACTCTACACTGTTACTGTTACTCTAGAGGCAGAGTAACACGTCATCGGCGAAACTCCTCGAGCACAGCCCCTAGCGGTACTAGCCTCCACAAACCTCCGTATGTTCTTAGCATTTCCATCACGATGAAAACACACCAACGCCCGAATTTACCTCGTTAAAGCGGCATATGCCAGATAGGGATAAATAGCATCAGCACCAAACGCTAGCAGGCAACACATCTGGTGTATGGACGATACCGCACCAACCTGAAATTAATTCCAAAACTACCAAACCACCCTCTGCTATCCCTCTGTTAATGTATATTCACAGAAGCTGGAGTCCATTATAAATTATCAATGAATTAGTTTCTTCAATGTTGGAATATATGTTCGCTTTCCTCAGCCGAGTTTAAGCGTTTGTATACAAATAGAAGTAGACAGGAACCAATAAGAATTCAACCAAGTTTTCGCACAATTTTCATATTCTCTCCTACTAATGTAGTTGACCACGTGCATATCTTTTCCCACACTTCACACGAGAGCACTTACCTCAGCTATAATAGCAGTTTGGCTTCTCAAACGGCATTTTATCAAACGATGGTGAACCGCCCCTACAGCGAGGAGGGCATCAACAGGGACCCTACTCGGACCTAAAAAGAATCTTCATGTCTCCTGAGGTTCCGACAGATTAAAAGATACTCACCAGCCCGACGATCACAGAGAATTAATATTCCCGCACCATCATGAACCGCCGCCTCTGCTTCTTCGCAAATATCATGAAGTCTCGACTCGAGTGCACACGCCCCCGAGAAATCTCTCAGAGCTAAAACCAGAGACCGCAGGTTCAATCCCGGCACCCTCCACATTATTGAAATTTCATCCATTTCACGTGAAGTGGCGTAATACTCCGTGAAAAAAACCCGATATTCGCACTATGCAGTAGTCGTGAAATATATTCTTTATTATTGTTTCTCATATCACGCGTAAAACTCCATGGTGTTAGAATATATATTTGCTGTCCTCACCTGAGCTCAGCTGTGTTTCAAATATCAACACAAAAAATTCTCAGGTTTTTAGTATTTTCACCAACGCAGGTGATTCTACCCCAACATGATGTTATCAATCCCCGTCACGCGCCACAAAATTACGCGCCCGCCCACCTCCTCCTCTCCTAATATCCCTGCCAGCTTCGATCCTATATGTCGTGTCCACCACACTAACCGGAAAGGTCGTTCCATCTCTCTCACTGTCCAAGTCCAACAGCTGTTGATATCTCCACGGGCACAGAATCGGTTCATCCAAGACCACCCTTCTCGCCGGATTAGGTCCGCACGCAAGCGCATGAGGTCTTTCAAAATCGGCCCTCTCACACTGCTCGTCACAGCTCAACAACTGAGGCCCTATAGGGCACTCTAAGCTCATCACAATGGACTCTCTTAGAGGGTCAATCGCAGGGTTAGTCGCCTCTGCGAAAAGCTGCTGCATATAGTAAAACGATGATAACGGCAACCGAGACAAACACGCCAGTGGTGCATCGTGGCCCATCGAACCTGAGCTTATTTGTAAAAAGCGCGCGCCCGAAAATTACCCATAATTTGATAGTATAGGAAACTTAGAAGCAGATGCGAGAGTTTTCCGCTCCATATGGCGTTACTCAGAAACACTCTGAGAAACTCTCATTTTTTCGGCGAAAAATGCGATATTTTCAAGTGTAAAAAGACAAAATTTTCGCCAAAATTTTCGCGTTGTCATCAGCACATGTAGTTGACTTTTTCCTACTCTTAATCTTATCACATAGTTCATCAACATTCATTTACCAATACATAACTCATCTATACTGCGTTTACCATATTCTCAACATGACAACATGACCAGAGGTCGCAGGTGCGAATCCCAGCTACGACATTTTTCCAATTAAAATTTCTCACAGTAATCATCAGTAAATAGCTACATAGCCTTGTCCCTCAGCAAACGTATCTCATATGTATATCTACATCGTTCTGCTCTAGTCGTTGAGTAGTGCGCAGTTGAAACTTATATCTCGGTCTACCTATACGGTATCTTTATAATACTACTTGCATAACACACTAGTGATTGTTACACTAGAGATGATCGAGAATCGGCATAATCATTCTACTCCCATCTTGGTAAGCACACTAGGTTCTATTCGCTCATTAAAACTATGCATGCGGGTTCGAACCCCAGCTCAAACATTTTTTAATCAATATTTCATAATAACTATCAAAAGATATCCAAGGCTCCCCACATAAAGATTCAAAGTAGGCCCACCTAGAGGCTCCTGGCCAACTCTCGCCATCGGGCTCAATATCATGTCGAGCATCTCAGCCACATAACCATGCATGACCAACTGCTCTGTCAGCGCGACTTCGGCAATATCGAGCACTTCCAATGTTATTGGTATTCCCTAAAGAAAGTATACGTATACGAAGAACGATAATCAGCGCATCAGTTTGCCGGAATTTTCAATTGCCAAACATTTCTAATGTTATTGGTATTCCCTAAAGAAAGTATGCGTATGACGAGAAAAACGATAATCAGCGCATTTCGAACTAAACTGATACGTAATTTGAAATACTTCGCGATTTTTCAGTTTGCCGAAATTTTCAGTTGTCAAACATTCCTAATGTTATTGGTATTCCCTAAAGAAAGTATGCGTATGACGAGAAAAACGATAATCAGCGCATTCTAAACTAAACTGATACGTAATTTGAAATACTTCGCGATTTTTCAGTTTGCCGGAATTTTCAGTTGTCAAACATTTCTAATGTTATTGGTATTCCCCAAAGAAAGTATACGTAACGAGCGAATTCTTTTTACTCACGGGCGACTTAACAAATAATTTTCAAGTTGAAACATTTGCGAATTTTCAATTAGCAAACTCTTCCAATTTCATCGGTGTGCCCTGAGGAGAATACTATAGCCACTCGCGATGCCAATAATACGCAGAACAGCAAGACGCGATTTTTTTTCACTCACGGAGAAAAATTCTAAATTTTAGTATTTCGTGTTAATCAATGAGCGTTTAAGGCTGAATACTGGGTTGTCCTCTGATAGCAGTTTTTCAAGCCAGAAACAAATAAAAAACCGCTTCGATTTCCCCAGACGGTTTCACGAATGTGAAATATATCTTCCCTCAGCTGAGTTGACCTGTGCCAAAACCAATGAAAAAAATTCACCAAAATTCTCTCGGAATTTTCCCATTGTCATCAACACATGTAGTTCACCATGTGCATGTTTTCCTGTACCAAATTTTCGACCCGCTCACCTTGCCCTTCGAACCATAATCATCAACAGTAATCCTCTTTGTAGATTCCGCATCTATAAAGACCGCTTGTTGCAGGAAATTTTTAAAGGGTGCAATCCTGCTGAAAGTATCCTTGATTTCGCTATCCAAAACCACTCGGCCTGATCACATCAAAAGCAGTGTGGGAAAATATGTTACATATTCTGATGACAATATTAAAATTCTGAGAGAAATTTGGCGAATTTTTATCGCCTGATTAGGCCTAGTGAAATTTGCCTCCAAAAATTATCGCAATTTTCACAAAGCTATAACACCACAATTTTCAAAAAAGGTTTCCAAATGAACTTGTAAAATTGTTAAATTTAAAATTTGCTTGTAAAATTTCGGTTAATTTTTTTCCCGTGAAATTCACCATCACTCGCCGCGAAATATATTATATCGCCCTCTAGGTCTTGTAAAAATCACTTTTCTCGCTCTACTCGTTCTCGCATGAACATTTTTCCGTGAAAATCACCGTCACTCGCCACGAAATTTACAGTATTTTTTCCAGGCCTTGTAAAATTCACTTTTTTCGGTTAATTTTTTCCCGTGAAAATCAGCGTCACGCGCCACGAAATTATCCAACTCACCCTGTTTCGTATCCACCAGAATCATCCTGCCCGGTCCAAGCCGGCCTTTCTGTACCACTTCCGATGGCTCCACATCGACTACTCCAACTTCCGACGATAATACGAATAACCCGTCCTTAGTAATCATAAATCTAGGGGAAAATTTTCTCGAGTAATTTAACTAGCATGAAAAAAATTTACAACAGTAATGGAGTTTCACTCATCTTACGTGGTGTGATACTCTGTGAAAATGCAGTGGTTTGTGAAATACTTTTTTCACTAGTGTTTTCAATTGGGTGAAATTCCAACATAATTCTGTATAATTTACATAACCGAAAAATTGCCATACCACTCCTTCGAAATATTGCGAGACCATTCGAATCACACCGTAGATCTATTTCCAGTGCAGCTCTTCCCGCATTTGCGACATTCCGAACATTGTAAAACTCACTAAAAAGTTACCGATTTCAACGAGAATAGAAATACCCCCAAAAAAACTTCGCTCCGCCCACCTGCTAGGCCTGAGCCCATTTCTATCCAAAGTAGCCCCAAGGACATCGCCATCAGTAAACGCTATCATCGCCGGACCATCCCAAGGCTCACTCAAACAGGAGAGATACCTAGTGTTACGATGATGACAATCGCGCACGCCCTGTTGATCGATATCTCTTCACATACAGCTAGTCGATCCCTATAACATCATTTTCCTTACAAATTTATTATCTTTACGTAAAGTGAACTGTAAAAAATGTATTTCACTAGTGTTTTTCATTTCACGGGTGAATTTTTCCCTCATAAAACTTATTTGCATAACCGTTCGCAATCTACCTCAATAATTGCAAATAGGGTGGTATCACTACTCACCTATACATAGCCTTCTGGTCCTCATCCATAGTCACATTTCCTCGCCAGGCCTCGCGAACCAACAGCATCATCGCCAGCGGCACCGGCCAGCCACATACAATATTCAACTGTTCGAATAGATTGTCTACAGTCGCTGAATCCGAGCCAATACCTACAACCAAAACTACGCATGTTGGTGTAAATTCTGAGAGGGAATTCTCATTTGTTTCTGTTTCACCCGTTTTAAGTGAAAAAAACGCGAGGATATGCAGTAGTCGTGCAAAATGTTTTTCACTAGGGTGGTGAAACTCCATTATGGAATGTTTAGACTGTGGAAAAGGGAGGCACCCAGGTTCGATCCCGGCACCCCGCATTTTAATCCACACTTCTGCTCACCTTCATCAACCGGTGATAGTATTCTGCGAATAATATTCTTCTGAGCTTCCGACATCCCACTCGGGAAAATGGGCTGAAAAATATCATGGCCAAAACCAACGTCGTTAAATGAAGTGGGTATGTTTTCAAAAAAATTAAATATTTTTAATGTTTTAAATGTTTGTGTGAAAATTTAATTTTAATTTTAATATTAAATAAAAATTCCGGGTAACAAGTTCAGTGGGTAAAAGATTAAAAAAAGATATTTTTTCAAAAGGAGTGGTTAAATTATTAAAAATTCGGGTAAAATATTAAATTGATGCTGTAGTGCTTTTCATATCCCTAGGGTGGTGAAACTCGATAGTTCTTGATGATATATCCAAAATTAATAAATATAATAGCTTTAAAATATTGTACTAAACTCACCTGTAGTAATCCAGTCATACCACCCTCTCGACTCTTCAGGCCTGTCTGTTGCCACTCAACGTATTAATCTCACCGTTGTGACACAGGCGACGAAACGGCTGACTCCTCGACAAGATGGGAAAGTGTTGGTACTGAATATCCGAGATCGG